ATGGTTGAATGAATTCAACCAAAAAGATGTTTTGTTCAGGAATATGATATGTGAACTTAGGGATCCTTTTATTCTCTGCCCTAAAGAACTGTTTTATCCTTATCTAGGATACTAGTTGGATTCATAGTGTAATGAAGCAGAATAAGCCATCATGTGGAATTTAGCTTTCTCCATCCTCTAGGGGCTGGCTTAGGCCAGTGTGGGGGTGGCAGCAAATGTCAGTTGTTGGGGATGAAGATCCAAGCTGTGGACCAGCCCTCAGTGTCCGTTCTTCCACCTGTGTCTCTGCCCCTTGTAAGGCATTTGGCCTGACCCTTCATAGATGTTTGAGAAGAAACCTGATCTCCGTTTGATCCTGCCCTCTCCAGCCAGGGGCTGCCTGCCCTGCTGTCCTTGTGGTTGTCCTTGTCCTTGTGAGGTTGATAATGAATAGAGAGGGGACAGGGGGAGAGTGGAGGGATAGGTTCCCCAGGGTACCTCATGCTAAGTGTCACTCTGGTCTCTCCATCTCCCCTGAACTTCCCTTAGGCAACTCCAAGGACCTACAGGAGATTATGGAGCTGGCAGAGCTGCTTTAGGTAGGAAAACAGCGTTAACACAGTGATTTCCCTTCCTTCAACTGGGCTTCTCAGAGACATGAAGTCTCACAAAAGCAAACAAGGGAACACCACCCCCACCCCACACACATTGAATATTTAAACAAAAATGCCCTGCTAATCTTTAGAGATGCCAGTGTTTTTAACACATGAAAGGTACCCAGTAAATATTTAAAGAAAATACAGACCCTGGGTACTCTAATGAATTTCTTTTTCTTCCAAATACCATCTGGCAAGATGGCCAGGATCGTGGCGGTCTGTTTCATCTTAGTTCCCATTCAGTTTCAGGTCCCTTTCCATAGGCCTTGGTGTGAACCAAGACTGAATGTTTAATTGAAGAGGGCATAATTTTCACACATACAGCAAAGATTCGATGAGGCTTTGAGGTTTATTGTAGCCATTAAAATGTCGTAGCTGCTGGCAAAATCCCAGAAAATCTCTAAAGCTAAACCAGATGTGATTAGCAAATTTCACGTGGTATCAGGCCCCAGGTCTCTAGGCAGGCATGCCATCACCCTTTAGAACTGATGTGAGAAGAGGTAGTCAAGAAGACTCAGAAAAACAAGAAGGCTGAATATCATTTTTATGCAAGTAAACTTCAAAGGAATTTACAATAGCATCAACTACAATTTGTTATGTGGTTGTGTTTATTGAGTGATTTACTTATATCTTTTCATCTTTTCAATGGTCCTATCTAGCGTCCCACAAGATAAGGGAGCTGAAGTTCTTGGTGCTCAAGTAACTGGTCATTGGCTCCCAAGTGATGATCTTTCCATGTTGTGAAACTAGATCAGACTCTAGTTCCTTGACATTTCCTATCCGTGGCTTAGAGGTCTTCCCACCACATTGAAAGTGGGAATCCAGAAAGCCATATTTAAAACATAAAGTTCTGTGAAGAGATGAATGGCAGGGAAGCTTCCTAGCAGGATGTGTGAGCACAGGTTTGTTTGCACACACTCTTCAAAACCACATATGTAGACTATTAGGTCAGAGAGAGATACAGGAACATTGCCTTGGACTGAGGATAGGATAGGAAAGGAAAGAGACACAGGACAGACAGGTCATTAATGCAAATAGACTCCTTCATTAATAGGTTAAGAATTTAAGCTGTGGAATCAGAGTACCAGTTTGGTGAAAAGAAAGTAAAATCTTATTAAATAGTATAACCATAAAAAGTTATTTGGGGGCAAGGGAGACTAACTCAGTGGTTATATGCCTCTTCAGCATATACACAACTCTCAACTCATTCCTCAACACCCCCCCCCAAATCAATTAAAATACTCAGTTTCAGTTGGGGATGATGGCTCATGCCTATAATCTCAGCACTTGGGAAACCTGAGGCAGGAGAAATGCCATAACTTCCAGACTAGCTTGAGCTATAGAGTGAGACATTGTCTCAAAAAATTCATTTTCTTACTTGCAAAACTTGACAATATTGCACCTGCATCATATGAAGTAATGAATGAGTGGTTCCTTTAACAAAGGCAATTAGGGTTATATACATTTTACTGGAACCTGTGCAGCTTATAGAATTGGCCCCTGTCATTAAAGGCCAACTGGCTATAACCGTGGAGTGTCGAATTCCTTGAGTACTTGTTATTCCTTCTCCACATTGTAAAGACAGATCAATCTTGAAGAAGAGGAACATAGTTCATCCTTAGTTTATTGTACATCTTTTAATCCAATGGCAATGATTTTGATTGTCATGAACTTATTATATAAACTCATTGAGAAATCACAAACAGGGATAGTTTCTTTCTTAGTCCTTGATCTTGTTTGCTGGCCAGCACTCTCAAGGTATTCTTACCAACCCATATGTGGTAGGCAGAATAATGCCCTCAGCAATGTTCAAACCCTAATCCCTAGACTCTGTGATTATGTTACCTTACATGCCAAAAAAAGGGGACTTTGTAAGTGCTGACATCGAAGAGTATTCTGGCCTGGCCAAGTGGAACTAATCTAATAACATGAATCTTTAAAATGAATCTTTAAAAGCTGTGATCAGAGGAAATTATAACTACAGTAGAGTGATCAGAGGGATGCAGTGGTACTGGCTTTGAGGACGGAGGAAATGGATGGTGGTCAAGTAATGGATGAGGCCTGTAGAACTGGAAAACTAAGGAGCAGATTCTCCCCAGAGCGTGAAGAAGGAAATCCAGCTCTGTCCATGTCTTGAACTTAGCTAGTGAGTAGTGAGACCCATGACAGACTTCTACCATGCAAAAACTGTAAAATGAAAATTGTTAAAAAAAATAGTTAAGAGGCATTTATGTAGTTTTAAGTCACTTATGTTTGTGCTAATTTACTATCGTGGCAGTAAGAAACAAATGCATCATGCATTCATGTAATGGATCCCTGTCTTTGATTGTACCTAATAAAGCCAGCCCCACCCATACTCAGACCTATGCACGCGGGCGCACGCACACACACACACACTCACATGCACTCAATGAGACCATAGATGCAGGATTCCCCAAGTAATGGCACTCAATATTGGGTGAAGTGTGAATTAGTGCCATGAAATGATGTCTGTAGGGCAAATAACTATTTTATTTATTTATCCTGTGTGTGTGCAGGTATGTGTGTGCGCATGCCATGGCACACGTGGCAGCCAGAGGACAACTTGCTTGCAGGAGTTGGTTCTCTCCTACTACCATGAATGTCCTAGGGATTAAACTCAGCTTGCCAGCCTTGGTTGCAAACACCTTTACCCACGGAGCCATCTCTCAAGCCCTGAATGAATAT